CTTTCAGACTTAGTAGGAGCACATGTTTGGGGAGCAATAACTGGTTGTGAGGACTCAGGTGGACAGGGTTTCTGGGAGTCAGCAATTAGCTTCTGACATTCCTCAAGACCTAATGGTTTAGGAGGAATGTCCTCTTGTTTAGTCTTCTTTTGTTTACAGTGTGTCTTAGAAGCCTTCATATCACTTTCAGATTTAGTAGGAGCACATGTTTGGGGAGCAATAACTGGTTGTGAGGTCTCAGGTGGGCAGGGATTCTGGGAGTCAGCAATTAGCTTCTGACATTCCTCAAGACCTAATGGTTTAGGAGGAATGTCCTCTTGTTTAGTCTTCTTTTGTTTGCAATGTGTCTTAGAAGCCTTCATATCACTTTCAGATTTAGTAGGAGCACATGTTTGGGGAGTAATAACTGGTTGTGAGGTCTCAGGTGGGCAGGGATTCTGGGAGTCAGCAATTAGCTTCTGACAGTGAGCAATAACTGTTGGATCTGGATGATTCTCCTCCTGTTTAGTCTCCTTTTGTTTGCAGTGTGTCTTAGAAGCCTTCATATCACTTTCAGATTTAGTAGGAGCACATGTTTGGGGAGCAATAACTGGTTGTGAGGTCTCAGGTGGGCAGGGATTCTGGGAGTCAGCAATTAGCTTCTGACAGTGAGCAATAACTGTTGGATCTGGATGATTCTCCTCCTGTTTAGTCTCCTTTTGTTTGCAGTGTGTCTTAGAAGCCTTCATATCACTTTCAGATTTAGTAGGAGCACATGTTTTGGGAACAGTAATTGGTTGTGAGGACTCAGGTGGGCAGGGATTCTGGGAGTCAGCAATTAGCTTCTGACAGTGAGCAATAACTGTTGGATCTGGATGATTCTCCTCCTGTTTAGTCTCCTTTTGTTTGCAGTGTGTCTTAGAAGCCTTCATATCACTTTCAGATTTAGTAGGAGCACATGTTTGGGGAGCAATAACTGGTTGTGAGGTCTCAGGTGGGCAGGGATTCTGGGAGTCAGCAATTAGCTTCTGACATTCCTCAAGACCTAATGGTTTAGGAGGAATGTCCTCTTGTTTAGTCTTCTTTTGTTTGCAATGTGTCTTAGAAGCCTTCATATCACTTTCAGACTTAGTAGGAGCACATGTTTGGGGAGCAATAACTGGTTGTGAGGACTCAGGTAGACAGGGTTTCTGGGAGTCAGCAATTAGCTTCTGACAGTGGGCAATAACTATTGGATCTGGATGATTCTCCTCCTGTTTAGTCACTTCTTGTTTGCAATGTGTTTTTGACGACTCTTTAGGGCTTCGTAACATCGCATCAGCGCTCTTAGATTTTTGAGGTGTAGTGACCTCTGGCCTAATGTAATCAGCACTCTTCGACTTAAAAGGTTTAGCATTTTTGGAGCTTTTGTGACTGATGACTTCACTAAACCCTTGAACAGATGGTGTACAATACTCAGAATTTGTGGATTCCGCTGTATTTCTCGAACTTGGTGAGTTAACAATCTTTGGAGTGTCATCATAATGGGAGGAACCTTTACTGGCAAGCCTCGCAGCCTTGATAGTTGGTGTTTTATCCGACTTTTTGATAGAGTTTCGCGTTATACCGTTGTCATGCCCATTCTTAACACTATTAGGTCGATGATGTGCAGATTCTGGAGTCGTTTTTGTCCAACATTTGAGAGGGTTTTTAAGACAAGCGTTTTTTGTTGCCGCAAGTGTTGGCATAAGAACTGAATATCCATTTGTTACAGGTGTAATTGGCGTTGTATTTTTTGGTGCAGAATCTGAAGTGCAGTTAAACTTGAATGAACCTGACATTTCAACAGTTCTGTGGAAGTTCCAAACAAAAATGATAAATAGAAGTGACACGATTTTTAAGCGTAAATCAATCCCATGTATGTATAAATTTCACGTGTATATCCTCGTGAACGCCGCTGAAGAACGACATGGAAAAGAAAAAATGCTGCAATGACGTAAAATACATTAACATAATACGAATGCATTATTAAAATAAAAAAAATAATTTTTAATTCCAGTATATAAGAATGATATGCTGAGTAGGTACCTTATTCATTTTCAAAATACCATAAAATTGGGGTAACAAATGGCTTTTAAAGAAGTTGCCTTTACCAGCATCTCGTTGAATCTTAAAACCTTTCTTAAAGCATAACTGTTTCTGTAGTGCTGGCTGCTAGGACTTTTAGCCTTACACCATTGTGCCACTAGATGTAACTGAGCTATTTTTGACTCAGGTCAGATGGGAAATAAGCGCAGCTCCTCAAACGTATTTAATGGACTAACAGTGTCTATCGGTATAAAAGTCGTTTGCGTATGGTTGAGGTGTAGCGGATTGCTGCCTTAGTAAAGCCTGACTGACTCAGAAATCTCCGTAGCAGATTCTCCTACATCTAGCTAGCCTCCCAGAACCAGCTAAGCTATAGCCCAGCTATAAGGGAAACTCATCTAGCTAGACTCCCAGAACCAACTAAGCTATAGCCCACATCTAGCTAGACTCCCAGAACCAGCTAAGCTATACCCCAGCTACAGCTAGCCTCCCAGAACCAGCTAAGCTATAGCCCAGCTATGTAAGAAAAAGACGTACAGCACGAAGCACATTTACCCAGTAAGTAACCTGTGAGCAAAGTGTACGCGCAGAGAGCTTAATCATGATCAGGATGGAGGATTAGGTTATACAAACGGAGGCTACTGATTGGCCACTGTTTGTACGGTCGCTGCATACAGAGTTGTACGCCGCACCTTCCAATCCTTGCGTGCAGACATGCGATGACGCACTAAGCGATAACGTGTCCCCAGAGGTTTAGACGTCAAAAAACTAGCAAATCGACGTTAAGTCTTTGTTTAAACTCCGATAGTTCATCTTGACAGCCAAACTGTGAAGGCTCCTGTGCGCCCGCAACTTAATCAGGTTTGTGGAACTGCTTTTTTAAGGCAAGAAACAAATATGAAAGATCCGAGCTATATCTATCGGTGACCTCTTTAGAAAGCTAAAACCCTATCTCAGGAAAATACAACGCTATTAATAATAAAAATTTAGAGAGATGAGTAAAGTTAGAGAATTGTCAAAATTGAAGAAATGCATAAAATAATCTAACCATCTCTAAAGCCTTTACCAATATGGCAAAACTTTGAATGGGAGAGATTAGAAAACTGGAATTTGTAATTCGCTTTTTATGGGCGTATCGGGGTATATCTACGCTCAGCTACATCGCTCTCCACGTTGATATCCCCCTCCCCCACTTAAGGTTGGGATTTAAACGCTTGATATGATCCCCCCAATCGGATCCACTTGAGAGACTTACTTTCAGTAACCCGTACCTCGTGTCTTCAAATCACTACATTCATCTATGGTCATTTTTAAAAGATTTTTGCCAGTAGATCCGCCCGCAATTATCTGCTCTTTTCTCTCCTTTAACCTGTTAGAAAGTCGGTGAAAACTTGCTAAATAGTTAGAAGATGAAGCCTGACACATGAATACCAGACACTTCGAAGACTTCAAGGCTCGTTTCATAGACCACTTATTTGATGGAAATGAAACAAAACAGAAACATGAAATATCAAGCATCTGAGGGAAAATAAATATCACAGACACCAAAAAATAAGCACCAAAAGATCCGAGTGGTTTAAATAAGTACAGAGGGATATCACAGGAAATGTTAGGAAAAGTACAATTTGTGTTTAGTCACGAGCCAATGACAGGACAGATTTATTTTACGTTGGGCTGTGAAGCATTTGAATGAAGACATCAGCATTTTCTTTCCGTTGCCTTTGCTCATCCCGAGCGCTGAGGGGATCACAATACATCAGCACTTCCTCTTCCTCCGATTCGTCTAAAGCGAATCTACTACTGTCGCTCTGGTTTCTAAGGAGACCCCGATGACTACGAGAATTGGATGTTGGTCCAAAGCCGAGCCAAGGTCTTTGGGATCGATATTTGCGGTAGCGAACACTTGCCATGTTCTTGCTAATAAGATGGAAGGAGCCGTGTCGACGATGGTATTTCAGAGCACAGACGACTAGCGTTATGGCAAGGAAGAGAGCTAATGCCCCAATAAGGCCACCTAAAATAGGAAGTGACTGCTAATGAAGGACAATAAAGTGCACAGAGTGATCCATAGGTCTGCCTGACCTGATTTACACATGGGCATAAAAATTACTACAAATTATAGCCTTACAACACACAAAAGAGAACAAAACAAAAAAACTCTAATTCGCTTTTAGACTCTCCTACTCTCGAGTTACCCTTCCTAATTAGAGATCCTTCAGTCATCTCCTCTTTCTCCCCACCTTTCTCACTCTACCCCCTCTCTGATAAATCTTATCATACAATCTTGTAACTTTCTTATAACTTTTTACCAGGAGTGAGCGATTAACTTATCTCCTGAGCAACGTATACCCATATAGCAACAAAGTCTATAAACCGGCAGTTGACCACATACTGCCATGAACCCACTGTGTGCCATATTTGACCACTTCCACGGTGTTCATCTTGCCTTTTCTATACCTTTGTATGTGTCTCTGTTACTTTCATGAATCACTATTCGGCCCCCTCCTCTCGACTGCATGTGACTTAGTCAGTTCCTTCCCCTCTGTGAAGCCCGAAGTCAACCAAAGGGATAATGATAGCTATCGCAAGGCCTACCATTTAATATGAATAAGTATTGTGACTGCAGTAGTTAGCTCTTGAGGCAATCTCCAAGTACTTTCTCTCCCAAGTCTCCATCAGGTTGCATTCTTTTAGCTCGTAAGAAGATTTTTGAATTTGCAAGTCTACAGCTATGAGCCTAGATTGCGCTAATTTAAAGCTATTTTGTAAGGGCTCGAAATTTTCCTCGGGAAAGTAGCTTAATCAACCCACTGAAAGGATGTGGGTTGACGGCTAAAATCAAAATGAGCCGAAAATGTCCAGTTTATCTGATAATTACTCTTACCACGACGAAACCGCCCTTTTTTCCTAATTTCCAACTTAGATGGAAGAGATGTTATTTGAAATGTTGCCACATGATAGAGGATTCTTCGGTGGACACAAGTTGTGAGATTAAAAATAGGTACTAGCTAAATAATTTTTCCACAGCAGGCCACTACCAGAGAGTAAGGCAGAAAAATAAATGATACTGACCTCAAATCTTCGTTTTGATCATGACAATACACAATCGATAAAGTTTCAAACAACATGGATTCGGCGGAATTTTAAATATCTTCTTAATATTTTGGTCAATAAAATGTTGTGATTTTCCGATCTACTTTGATGGAATAGTATTTATCCTGTAAATATATCTATTGACTTCATTTTAGTGATCAAATCAGCATCTTTCTTTACAAATTTGTTTGAAAAATGCAATAATCTTCTTGAACCAATGTTTTACCAGTTCTATAAGCGAAAGATTTAGTTCCACGGAGTTAGTGGTTTACAAAAAGTTGAAAACTTATGAAGCTTCATTCTGACAATCTCAATATATTCTTCCCTTCAGATTACCATTTTGGAATTCATTAATACCTGAGTAAAAAATCCAAAAAACATTCCACCTTGTGTAACTATTTCTAACTTAGTTAAATGGTTTCAGAATTCGCTTTTACCAGCTTTAAAGAGTGAACATTCTACTTAGTAGTAATCATGCGCGACGCTTACATGAAAACAAATTGACTCTTTTCTTCCAGAAAATGTACAAATAATAAAAATAGGACTGAATATTCTACTTAACATTTTAAAGTAGATGCAATAATTAAAGCTTGCCTGTGTAAAGTGTCAATGACGAAATACCGAATATTCTCCCCTTCTTTGCTTTGCTCCAGTCTCTACATCGGCCTTCGAATTCTTCAATTTCCTTATCGAGGGGCTGATTTTTTAAGTATCTCTTAACTCGAGAGAGTTTTCCCCAGTTAAACCAGGGTTGTTGTATGCCCAGAGCCCAACATATCATGGGGTAGATATCATAGAGTTGAATGGGAGAATTCGGTTCGTTCGATTCGATTTGCCTTGCACCGCAGACTTCTGGAGAGGTTGTGAACGCCTTACCCCAGAGGAGAACGAAAGGACTAAGTTGAGGCAACGAAGTTATTGCTTGTTCATACGAATCCATACTAACTAAAAGGAAAAGCGCATGTGCTATCGGAGGAATCAATGCCACTTGATTTACATCATATCCGGGAGGCACTTCTTCGCCTCCTTTTTAAAAATGACGCATTTACAACATGAAGATGAATCTTCAACGATATCAACAGCAATGAATCAAAATATCAACGATAAAAAACCCGATTGAGGAGATGAAAAATGTTTCAACCATTTACACAGAACATTTTTGTAGTCTATCTCTTTTACAACTGTGAATCGCTCTTCTGTTCTCCCCCCTGTGAAGCCCGAAGCCAGCTAAATGGCTAATGATACCTTTCAAAACGCCTGCCATTTGAAATAAATAAATAAATAAATAAATTTTTGTAGTTTGAGGTCGGTAGGCTTCCCCATCACCTCCATCACCACCACCACTTAATCTCTCCCTTTGCTTTCATATCAAAATTATTCAGACTGAAAAAATCATTACAGTCATTCATTTAGTCCTAATAAGTGAATATATCATTCCAGCTGAAAGGAGTTTAAAAAAACAAAACTGAAAGCCGCAAAGGCCATGCTCTTCTCAGGTTGAGGAAACTCCCAGTTATCTCTAGATTACCCATCATCTATGCGAACTTATGAGGGCATACTACACTTCGGAGTATTATTCGTTATCAGTTTGGCCTACAAAAAATAGCAAGGCGAAATCGATTTAAATTGATTTATCAAGTCTACATTTTTTAAACTAGAATTTCATTCTGTTCAGTCCACTCTTCAACTGCCCCCCCCCCCCCCCCCCAATGTGACGATCGAACATGTTCAAGGATTTTTGTCAGTTGAGACACCGAAGAAAACAGCTTCAGAAATCACATGGGAAGGAGACGACAGAAGAAATTAATACAGAATTCCTTCAAATGTATTGAAAGACCCCGAATTCACCATTAAATGTCCGAAGTATTATGAAGCATAAATCCAAGACGATCCTCAATATACTACTTCCAAGAGATTCAACTCTCATTAGTTCATCTTTAAGAGTCATTAAGACCTCTGTAACCAACACAATAGTTTACTTGCGGATGATCGGCAGAATGGCACATGGGTAGGAGGTAACGTCAGAGCTGCGCGAAGCGGTGGGTGCTGACGGCCAAACATTTGTGTTTCGCCGATATCATATTCGCCTCCGTGGGCGGCAATGTCATCGAAACATGGTAGCGGGTACTTCGGATATCATATTGGGTATTTCTGCTCTTCCACCACTTCAGAAATGCAACATAACCAACAACAGAAACCTCGACAGCAACGCTCTAGGAAAAACTAAATGATTTCAAATGTGTCCAATATCCAGCATTCTCGGCAAAATGCGTTGGGAAAGAATGAACACTTTTATACAGTAAAAGAACTTTAATTGACTATTTTAATTTTATTAATATTTTATTAAGAAACAACAGGTTCAACTGGTCATCGATAGATTATATGTGCAAAAAATACTATTTGGTTGAAATTTTGTGTATATTACTCAGTTCGAAATTTGGAACTACGAAGTTAAAACACCAATAATTGGTCCAAATCTGTACATTGAAGATAACCAATGAGATTACTCTCCGTATGGCTTCTAAGTAAATTTTTAATCGTTTTCTAGAAGTAAATATTCGCTTGCTAGCAGAAAAGTAGGAAATGGAATACGCAAACTTAATGTATTAACATAGTCCATACCCTAAACAAGCTTTCAATAATTTGAGTCATTAAACAACTAGGTAATTAACTTCACTCATATTTATTCATAAGAAGTGCAGTGCTGAAAAAACAGAACGCTTACTTTTGATTATATGATCTCGAAGAAAATTGTAGAATTGGCAGAAAAATGTAGTTGGCAAAAAACTTTACCTCATCAGGATAAAATGTATAGCAGAAAGGCAAATTTTGCTGTAGCTATGTTCAAATCCCCGATCGACAAGCCACCAGCAAATAGGGCTAACAGATCGAAATGACGTGACCAGCTGATTCAATTAAATAAACTTATCAACGATAAGACTGAAGACTGAAGACGTCGATTTACCCCCCAGAAATCGAGGTGCCCTAAAAGGAGCACCAAGCTTATAGCGTATAGATATTACAAAAGCAAGAGGTTTGCGTTTCGGTGATTTTAAATCTCAAGTAGAGTTGTCAGACTCTTGTCACCTTAGCTTCATTACATTATCTATTTAACTCTTTACTCCTCTCTAACTAAATCCTTTCCTTATTTCGCGCCTCAAAATGCAGTTCGATGATGAAGTATTGCACAAGATTATTGAATTACCACGGCTAATGCCTATAATAGATAATGAATTCTATAAGAAATCGAATTTTGTAAGTAAATCCCCCAAACAATAGAAAATGACTAGTGAGCTATAAAGTAACATGCTTTAACACGATAAGAGGGTGAGGTTAGGATCTCGCAACTGCAGCCTAGTCAAAAATTGTATGTGAAATTTGTTAATCTGTGCGTTCATTGGTTCGCACTCGAGAGACAATTATCCACGAAACAATGTGCTTGAAGCCTAAAGCAATAATAAGGCAACCATAATTCTGGCTCTAAAGGAATATGAATAGGCGGAGTTTCTACAATTTTGAGATGCAAACAGGTCATGAGTTCATGATATCATGATTAAACAGCTTAAAAGCAAGATAACGCATTACTTATTAGAAAACAAGAAGAAGGATCTAATCAGATCATATTTTATTTTACATGGCGATTACATTTAAATCAGCGTGTCAAGAGACTCTCCCATTAAATAAAGCGGTTAAAGGAGAAGATAAAATTGAGACCAATTGGACACAGTTGTTAAACACGTCAATGAGGTGAATGAATGAATGAGGTCAATGAAAAGCACTCAAGTTATAAGGGTTTAAAGGTTAAAAAGTGTCTTATTAATAGGAAAAGGGTCCTCCGTTTGATAAAAGTAATTTAATCTGATTTATGTTTTCAATTATACGGAGCTCATTTGTGACAATAAAACCACAAATCTGATTGGTTTGGTTAATATCAATCCAAATGTCGAAACTGATGGCAGTCATATTAAGTGAAAGCTGTAATACTGCGTAATATAATGCCCAATATTATATCGATTATTTTCTGAACGCATAAGGTATTGATTGGGTATATAGTTCCAAAATATATCGATTCACAACTAGTGGAGTGATTGTTTGGAAGAGCTAAATTTTTTTCCTAATAAGAAATATGGCACAAGATCATATAGCTTTAAAGTAGTTTACGTAAAGTGTTAGCCATGTAAAGTACTACAAACGAGCAAAAAGGATGCCGAGAACAGGACTCATCTATATCGAAAGTGCAAAGTCCCATCTTAATTCGCAAGTAAATAACTTGTCAGGTTTATTAGGGAGGAGGGGGGAGGTTGGTGAGTGCTTCCAATAATTGGTTTGGGTAAAGGGGATTTCGCCTTGACCAACGCGCATTATCCTTTGCAAATTGTCATGACCACTAATGGACATGCATAGATGAGCACCTCGGCCTTAAGCATTAGGGAGTGACAAAGAAGCAAGGCATGCAAGAAACATAAAACACGTCCGCAAAGCCCAGACAAGGAACTTCTACTTGGAGTTAAACCAAATTTGACTAATAACAAAAAACACCTTGCATTTTTAAAGTTACTGTACACTAAGTCACTTGGATGAGATTAAGGTCCTGATTTTGAGGAGAGAGGAGTAAGAGCCATTACAGTGATTTATAACAAGCCTATTTACAGGATGAAATGCATTATAGATAGGATAAGCTGTTGGACTGTACCGGTTAATCGATATTAATACATACCTAGGCCAGTCATAAGCTAAACCGTCTATCAACAATTGGAGAAAAAATATTCTTGTAAAATGCCTAATCGGATTTGCAGCTTTTTAGTGAAATGAATTAAAGGAACAACTTCCAGTAGTCAATGAACCGCATTCTTGCACTAGGACCAGAGGAGAGTACTGAAAGACCTGACTTAGCTAGGGCAAGTACTTAATTTGTACTCATGCATATGCCATCAATCCATGCATCAGAGATAGTTGAATGCAGAGACGACGCGGTGGATCTGATGGCCTCGTCACTAGCATCAAGGAGAATGTTAATTTCTCTTGAAATAGCGCACTTGGGCAAACTTCAATATAACATACCTACAGCAATACGGCTTTCTTTTAGATTGTGCATCTATCATGATACAAAAGATGAAAATGAACCAAAACCGCAAAATTGTAAATTCCTTCAAATTAACAGACAAATAGGTCATAAATATCACCGATAAAGTACACCCAGGAACCCTACGATTAAGCTAAGAAAATTGAGTTTAGAAATATTCGTACATTGCCAAGTGGATTATACTTCTTAAGAGAAAATAGATAATCCAATTCTGTGCAGGTTTCCTGATGCAAATTCAATAAGTAAACTTATTATTAGTTGCATTAATAATAAGGGCAACAATTATAAACTTAAAGAGAACAGGAATGACCTTATCAGACGGTCAGCTAGTCCCTTAGACTCGTTTCTGGAGCTTCTCCAAAGCCCCATTGGGATCATACAAATTTATATAATGAGATTATAAGTTGCTTAGAGAAAAAATTAAATGTTACCGGAACACAAGACTTACCTTCAAGAAGTTTACCTGACTCAGCAACAAGATAATATGGAGGCAGAAGACCCACATCGAGGTTGGGATTTCGTTTGCGAAATTCTGTTGTACTGCAGGAGAGATAATCTGGGTTTTTTGCATTAAGAAGTAGTCGATCACCTCCATCTAATTCATCTAAATGGGAAAAGGAAAGGTCAGTTTAAATAGAGATCCATGACATAGTTTGCATAGAAGCTTCCAATAAATAATAGTAGGTTGAGAAAAAGTACAAGATATTTCCAATTTGTGTCATCAATTTATTACTAAATTTAAAGTTGTTTCATCATTTAGAATTTAAAATGGACATTCTTTCAAACTGTTACCCACTATATCTTTCACAGAGGTGACTACTATTTGTTAAAATTGCCTGCACATCTCAAAAGAGATTAAATGACTTAGAAATATAGTATTGTTGAGCCAAAATATTTTATTTTAATAGGAAGATTTTTATGCCAGAAGCGAGCTTATTATCTGACCAGCTAGATAGCGAAATAGTCACCATAACTGATTTGCCGTATTTATTAAACTTAACGAATAAATGACTTCAATAGCATTAACATATCATTTCATTGATTATATGCGATCAGCCTTATGTCCTTTACAAATTACAGGAGCGTAAATGATTAAAAGGGATTTTTTTCGAATACTAACAAAGTCTGCAATTCTTTGCTCGAAACAGTACAACATGCTTAACTGATGCAATTACGGACCTTTGGTAGTTACCATTTAATAACAATTTAAATCGGTAGAAAAGTTGCAAAACTATATAAATTTATGTTGAAAATAGAATATAATTTCACCAGTAATATGTATAAATGCTAGTACTCAGGTAAATTTATAGATTTCAATCAAGGATATATAGAAAAACTCAATAAAATTCCCGTTTCAAAGCTAATTGCTGGCTTCAAATAAGTTCTAATGATGAATCTGGTAAAAAATGTAGGCTTCCATCGTGACATTGAGACTTGAATATAGTTATCATTCACAGTTTTTAAACTACCATTTCCATTGTTGAATTGATTTTTGTCAATATTCCCTGTCTCAGATCTTTTGCATGATTCCCATTGCATGATATTAAGTACAACAATGGCTTAGTACTAAACACTAGATGAAAAACAGAGTTTATTAACTCAAAATAGTATTAAAAAGATAAATTGCTACTCAAAGATTGCGAATAATATTCTTAACTCGAAACCTAGAATAATTGCCAATAATCTCAAACTCGCGAAATGAAGCAAATAGACCACTTGAAGACAATCAGATATAATTTAAGATATAACATAAGAGAAAATACTGACTTCATTAAGGAATCACTTTAAAGTTAAGTTAATTCAAGAAATTCCTACCAGGAGTGGGCCAGAATTCAAGTAAAGAGGATTGCTTGAAGTGATTGCCAAACGCTGATAAAGGCCAGTGTTTAAAAATTTTGTGTATTGGCACAATTTCAAAATCATTACGATTATTAACGACGGCGGTACCACCAATAAAAACAACACTAACTGAGCAATTCAATTTGGGTGACTTTCTGATAGTTGATAAAATGGTTGAGAGAAATCCATCAACATATTCGGCATAATTAGACAAAAATCTCGAGTCTCTTAAAGTGGGTTGAGAAGGAATATATATAGATATGAAAGTAATGGAAGGATTATGAAGCCACTGGTGAATCTTTTCAATGTCAAAGTACGCGTTTCTTGGTGTAGGATTAATGCCAGCTATAAAATCAGGACGGGATTTATTAACAGACACGAAACCATCGGGCCAGTAAAATGAGCCACTTTTCATTCCTTGACGTTGGTTAGTAAGCCAGAGGGGTTCGAAATTCGGAGAAAGTTTGGAATGTATTATCGAATCGCATTTATTTGCGGTCGCATAGTTAGAACTTGGGGGGTAATACAAACCACCAGACAGAATAGCGGAATGCACATCAGCGGAAGTATTAAAGCCCTGCATAGTAATTTTGTTTACAAAACAACTTTCACTTAAAAAAAATTGGAAAGCTGGAAAATGGGCATCGGGTGATGAAATTATATCATAAGAAGCATACTCTGCGGAAATGAGGAGAATTTTATCTTTTTGATTTCTACCAAAGGAATATGTGTGTTCTATGTAAAGTAGAAAAATCCAACAAACATACGGAAAACCACTCCTGTCCATATCCAGCTCAATAAGTGAGCCCTTCGAGTTAGTTTGCTCTTTCATAAAGCTAAACAACTTGCGTATGAAAGTTTTCCAGTTTTATTTTTACAATTAAAAATTAAAAAGAAAATAATTTCTGCTTTTTTGCTTATTTAATGAAATTATTCTCATCCGTACGTTTATCTTCCGGTATACCCTTAATAAAATATGCCGATTATGCGCAATATATCCTTTTTTTTATTTTTTTCAGTTTAACTTAATTGAAAATTTGCTCGTTGGTAAGATATTTATATCAACTGGCAGGCGTTTGACAGTTATCATTAGCCCTTTAGTTGACTTCAGTCTTCACAGAGAGGAAGAAACATCGAAGGGAAAAAATGTCG